ATTTGTCATCAATACACTTTCAATTAACCTTCCTCTATATTTCCTAGTATCAAAACCAATAACCAACTGTCATCATCACTCCACAACCACCCCCAAACAAACATAGAATTAACCCCAGAACTAACCCCCCCAAAAAACCAAACAAAAATACAAACCATGATGATAAATCATCAAGCAATCACCCACCAAATTTCACGTTCTTGTAGCTTATAAAAAGCATGACACTGAAGATGTCAAGATGGCTGTCACACACCCAAGGACAAAAGACTCAGTCCTAACCTAACCCTGGGACAGGCTGTGCATCTCCCCCACGGCCAGGGAAGGACTTGGGGGCAAAGGTGGGATGTGAGATTCCCATGTCTGGGATTACAGGTCAAGGTCATTCATCTTCTCATGCTGCAAAATGGGGGAGTGCCCTGACCACTGTCAAAGTGCCGGCCCAGACCTTCAGGCCCTGCTCTCCACAGCCTGCAGGGTGACCTGGGCCTTGTCCCTGTCCCCAGTGCCACCTGCCAGCCCCCCAGCAGCCACGGCCTGTGCTGTGGGACAGGGGAGCCTTGAGGAGCCCCAAACTCACCTCAGCCTCACTGATGGCCCTGTTCCAGCAGCTCAACGTGACTCTAAATTCCTGTTGTGCTTTGCAGGGAGCAGGAAGGTAAGAGGACATGGAGCACCTGCAGCTGCCCTGAGGCCAAAAACTGATCAGAGAAACTCCAATAACCTGAGGCTTCTTTCCCTTCTCTCTGTCTGTGCCCTGTGTGCTCTCTGAAGAGGAATGCGTGGAGGAAGGTAGGAGCTGCACCTGCAAGGACCAAGAGCCAAAGGAGAGGGCTTCAGTGTTTTGCTGGGGGTTGGGATCATCTCCTGGGCTGCAATGGGAAAACCATGTCCAGGAAAGGCTGATGTGACCATGTTTGAGATGCCTGCACCTGAAACATCAGTAGGATCAAACCAGTCTGAATTTTCTCAGGATCTCTTTTGTCAGTGCCTCAAAGCAGGGCTGGCAATGCTGGACATGGCTGTGGGCTGAGGGGCGATCCCAATATCCCAACAGGAGCTGGAGCCTCTGCTGAGCGTGTGCCAGCCTTGCCAAGCTCAAACTGGCACTGCCTTGGCCTGATGGGGACACAACCCAGCATGGGAGTTGGGCCGGGCCGGGCCGGGCTGGGCTGGGCTGGGCTGTTGTGGCGAGCAGATACTCTGCCCCAAAGTCCGGGCTGCTCTCCAGACCCTTTGTTGGTAAAGTGAGCAGCGTTCCGAGTGCGCTCAGCAAAGCCTCGTGCAGTGCTGCAGTCTGAAGGTGGTGCCGTCCGAGGGTCGGGGTAACGCGGTGCTTTTTAGCGTGGATGTTGTCTGTGAGTTCTGACAGAGCTGGCAAAGCCCGGGTTAGCAGAGGATCACTGAGTTTTCCCTTGAGTTTTGCTGTTTGTTGACACCAGCATCATCCATCAGATAGTTTTATTGACAGTGCACCGATAACAGTTACAGTTGGCATAAATACTGTTCTACAGATGCTGACTGAAAATGAATAAAGACAAGCAAGCTGATGAGGACGATGATGACAGCGAGCTGTTCGAAGACTTCACAGAGCATTTTAACCAACTTGAACTGCTGGAGACACACAGGCATTTGATTCCTGTGGGAACTCAGAGCTGTTGGTCAGGACAGTCTGATGATGATGATGATGAGCAAGAAAGAACGGAGGAATGGTACGAAATGCAAGAAAAGAAAATGGAAAAACATCCAGAGAAATTGCTACTTTGGGCAGCTGAAAACAATCGGGTAAGGCACTTGCTCTGTTCACATATGTAATTTACAAGAATGTTATTTTGAGCGTGTCTGTAGTCTCATCCACAAACAAAAATTTACCTATACTTTTCTTTCTTTCTCTGAGCTGTTCTGATTTGGTTTTGCAAGCCACTCTATGTAAACCATCCCCCTTTGTAGCCCGTACACACTGAACGTCTCTGGATCCATTGCCTTTTAGAACAAATTTTGATTCCAGTTCAAAGTTCAAGTAAAAGCACTTTTCTTTAACTTCTCTAAACTGAAAGCATGCTAGGCTCTTCATGGCAAATAAGCCTTTTAACTGGTGTGGAGAGGCTGTACCTGAGATTTTATAAGTGCTTCTGGCACTGACAGAAATTAAACTTCAGGACCATCAAAGCCATGTGGTGGTGTTTGCAGGGGTCCCAGGATGAGGGAAATGATGAGAATCTTGACTCCATGTTTCAGAAGGCTGATTTGTTATTTTATGATATATTAAAAGAAAATGATATACTAAAACTATACAAAAGAATAGAGAGAAAGGATTTCATCAGAAAGCTAGCAAGGAAAGGAAAGGAATGGAATGATAATAAAATCTTGTGACTGTCCAGAGAGTCTAAGCTGGACTTTGATTGGCCGTTAATTAAAAACAACTACATCAGACCAAAGATGCACCTGTTGCATTGCACAGCAGCAGATAATTATTGTTTACTTGTCATTTATGAGGCCTTCCAGCTTCTCAGGAGAAAAGGATCCTGTCAAAGGATTTTTCATAAAATATGTCCGTGACAAAAGCTATACATCTTGTTTCATAGAATCACGTGAAGTTCCCTGTTTTCTCTAAACAGCTGGGTACGGTGAAGAGGCTCCTGACGGAAAAGCTGGCTCCCGTGAACGCTCGTGATGAGGATCAGTACACTCCTCTGCACCGAGCTGCCTACAGCGGGCACCTGGACGTTGCACACGAGCTGGTGGCCCAAGGGGCCGACGTGCACGCGCAGACCGTGGACGGCTGGACGCCCCTGCACAGCGCCTGCAAGTGGAACAACACCAGCGTGGCCGCGTTCCTGCTGCAGCAGGGCGCGGACATCAACGCGCAGACAAACGGGCTGCTGACACCCCTGCACATCGCTGCAGGAAACAAGAACAGCAGGGAAACCCTTGAGCTCCTGCTGATGAATCGCTACGTGAAGCCAGACTTGAAAAACAACTTGGATGAAACTGCCCTTGACATTGCAAGGAGGACTGATATATATCACTACCTTTTTGAAATAGTAGAAGACTGCATAAACACTGTGTCCCCCTAAAAGCTTGTGAATGTGAGGTTTTCTGCCTCTTTCTTGTTAGTGTTCTGCATGCCTGTCGCTGGTGGTCTGTCTCTTTGTAACGAGGTTTTAACATAAGATATTTCAGTATTCTCCTCAGGCAAAATGTCACCTCCTGCAGCGCAGTTCAGTGGTCACGCTCGTACTTTGAAGCGTTCCTGCAGTTAGCCGAGGTGGTCAGAAAGTCTCAGTAATTCCTGTGAGTTTCTGTTTAATAAGTGCAGATTTGGAGAGGGCTTTGTATGTTGTCTGTAGTGTCAAAGCAGGAGGGAAAACTGGAATATTTACTTGATGTGAAAAAATTCTGGCTTGGTTATGCAGACTTTATTACGGCTCACTTGAAAATTATTTTTTGAGAAATTCTAACTTTTTTAAAACTGCATGAAAGCTCAGAATGAATGTAACTTATTTGGGTGATACACAAAATGTTTAATGAACCTAATGTAAGGCTTATTATAAAATAAAATGTTTAACTCAAAGTATTTTGTAATATTTTTAATTAAAAGTCCATTTATCAATCACCTGTTCATAAATCAAAGACTTTATTCATAGGATAGAAAGTAGTTCTGGTTTATTTTTTTCCTGGTGCTTTATCAAGGAAGGGATTTTCTATCAAGATCCTCTTTACTTTTCCCTTGCAATTAAGTTGCATAAAGACTTAATGTCAAGAATGTGGCATTAATTGGAAAAAATGAGCCACAACCATGTGAGGATAAACAGCCAGCATACTGTCGTGTCTGTAGTTACAGGTAATTTAGTATTGCCCTTTGAGTTAGTACACTAAAATTTTGCCATGGTAAGGGCACACAGTATGATTTTCAGCTTCCACTTTGCCATCTGTAATTTAGAAGTGGAGAAATTTACTTCTCTGTTAAACAAACTGAAAATTGAATGTAAGTGCTGAAGTACTTGTCACTATGAGAGCTGTAGCAAGCACTGTCCTATGCAGATGCCTTACTGAGTGATCCCAAGCTCCTTCCACTAACATGCAGCACAATTGTAGCAGTAGCAGCAGGGTTGGGATATGTTGGACCACATTTAGTGCTCTGATCAAGCTACTATTGAGGGCATCTTGGTCACCCACCTTTTAGAAGCAGTGTGTAATGTTCAGCACTTTCTGTTCAAAAATGGAAGCACAGCTTCTGAACTATGAATGATGTAACATGATTTTAATGTGTATTATTTTTAAAAGTTTGGTTTCAGGACATCAGTGGAAGAAGATGAATATACCTTGAGAAGCATCAAGGAATAATAGAGACGTGGGTTACAAGCCACTTCAGTCCAATATGCAGTGTCTGAAGATGCTTCATTTAATGACCAAACTAGTACTTTTGAGTATCAGTAGATAAACATCACTTAAACTGAACTCTGTTGTTCTTCCCCTCAGCCCGGCACCGTTCCGTAGGGCAGGCCCGCGATGACAGCCCACAGCAGTACAGAGTTCGTGATGTGCGAGCCCCGCTCCCGCGGCCATGCCGAGTGACACAGAGGAGCAGCTGGTGCTGGCACCCGGAGC